AAATTGCTTGGTATTTTCACTTCTAGGACTGAGCAATTAGATCTGACAAATGATTTTTTTCTTCTATGGAATATAAACATAAGAGACTCAGGATATACTCCAAGCTTGAGCTAACTGATTTCTAAACAGTGTTCAAGATGCTTCCTGCAGAAACAAGCATTCCAGAAAATACCATCATCAATCACCCATTTCCCCTTGTCTGAGTTGTACACAAGTAACATCCTTTCGGCTGGGGGATAAAGGAATGGGGGAGGGCGTCCCGAGTACTCACGGCAACCAGGAGATTAGCGCAGAGGTGTGGAGAATCATCCAGCAGGAAGGTGGGCGCTGAGCCTCCCACCGCAGTGCCCCACCATCACGCGGGCCCGCCCTGACACCTCCCAAGGTCCCCTGTCAGCAGGTGTAATCCAGCTTCTCCATTTCCAGAAGGGAAGCTCAGGAGGCCCCAGTGAAAACCAACTGCTTGTTGTGAGAAGCCAGTCTGAGAACTGTAAAACTGCCCAGGGTTGCAGGGCTTGTGCAAGTCCGTGATTCACTCCACAATGGGTTCACCAAACACACCTAAGAGAAATGACAGGTTTCTCTTGTCTGAGGCAAATCAATTAAAGTGAGTCACCGCCACTTGTTTGTCCTTGAATTCTTTATCTCAGATGATTATGTGGGACTCTCTGGGTTGGAACTACTCTTGCACTCGTGTAATTAGAATATGGGTGATAAAATGCAAAGTGGTCTTGATAGTTTCAAAAGATGATTACTTTTTTTTTTTTGTCTATACTGATGTGAAACATGGAAAGAGTAGTTAGGAAACTGACTAGTAGTTAGGTAAATCTAACCCCTACCTTAATTGCAAAGTGATTTTTTTTTTCATTTTGTGATGACTGGGGCAAGAAATCATTTGTGAGCCTCTGTCCAGGTCTCTATGAAGACTGTAGCAATGAAGAATTTGGGCCTAGAAAGACACGTTCTCTAACATGTGGAAATTTGGCACAATCCGACACTGCCCAGGGGAACCAGCTTGACTTGTCTCAACACCCTTTAGTCCTAAGTATCCCAATCTAGTGTGTTCTATTTACATACCTCCCTGACCCCCAAATCTAATACCAACCTTCACTGAAATATTGTCAGAAATAAATACATGTTCCTGGGGCAGGGAAGGGAGAAGATTGACACTAAGAATAAAATAAGTGAAAAGCAATTTTGTTAGTCTTTTAAAGTCATGGAAACCAAGGAGACACTATTTTTGCAAAAAGTTCGTTTCGTTTTGGTCACCGACTATGTTCTGGGTCATTTGAGAATTTGAAAAAACCAGCATCCTCAAACTTTTGACTTTGTGATCAAAGAACTTTATTGAACACATTTTAAGTGCAAGGCCCTTTGCTCTGCTTCTGACAAACAAAAGTGAGGAAACACAGTGAGCGAACACAGTGAATGATTCTATCCCTGATGGTTTACAGTGTTATCTGCAAAAGAAACTCTATGGGCACAAGAAAGACTAAAAGTCAGTTCACAATATAACACAATAAATACTAAATACAAAGTGTGTGGCAGAGATGAGATGTATCACAGGATATCACATGAGGCAAATCAGTATTGCTGGATAGACTAATCAAGGAAGACTTCATGGAGCAGGCAAAGAATGAAGCAGAACTCAGACAGTGTGAAAATATCAAGTCACTCTTTCGCAGGCAAGGACTCCTATGTTACAGCAACATTGAATGAATGTAACCTTCAGAACTCAGCAGATTTGGCAAGCTGATAGCCTCGATTGAACAACATTTGGTTGAACAAGATTGAAACAAATGCTTTATCTTCTTTTTTTTAGATGCCAATAAACTGAGAATGTAGAGAAAAGGGAAACTCTTTACATAGTGGGAAGGGAAGTTGGTGTAGTCACTGTGAAAAACATTATGGATGTTTACAGAAAAGTAAATAGAGAACTACCATACAATCCAGGAGGTCCATCCCTAAGTGTTTACCCAAAGTAAATAGAAGCCCTAATTAAAAACAATATTTGTAGAGACACAGGTTGGGCTTTGGGCAAAATGTGTTAGTTATAGGTGCACACTTTAAGTTGTAAGATGAGTCCTGGAGGTGTAATGTTGAGTCTAGTTAAGAAAACTGTGTCATAGATTTGAAATTTCTTACTCTGCAGCAGTAAGTAATTTCTGATAAAAAGTTTTATCAGAAGAAAAAAAGTACTATGATAGATGCAAATGATTATTCCAGTGGATCGTTTAACAGTATATAAAAATGCTCATGTTTTTGTTGATAGCTGAAGCTAATATACACATTATTCATTCATATGCCAATACAAAAAGATTTTGAAAAGTCAATGAGATAATTTCTCCTTCTTCTTCTTCTTCTTCTTCTTCTTCTTCTTCTTCTTCTTCTTCTTCTTCTTCTTCTTCTTCTTCTTCTTCTTCTTCTTCTTCCTCCTCCTCCTCCTCCTCCTCCTCCACCACCACCTCCTCCTCTCTCCCTGACCCCCTCTCCCTCCCCATCTCTTCTTCATCTTTGGGCCATACCAAGCTGTGTTCGGAGCTTATTCCAGGTTGTATGCTCAGAAATCTCTCATAGTGGAACTTGGAGAACCGTATGTGGTACTGGTTGACTATGTGCAATACAGGCACCTTACTTGCTGTACTATCTCTCCAGCCCCTTGATGCACTCATTTCCATGAGTTTCTATATACCACCTCAAGCAAAGTCCATGCCTACATGTTTGCTTGTGTTTTTTGTGTATGCATGAATTTTCAGGTACCCTCATAAAGGCAACTAAAACCATTTAATTGTCATTTATTATTTACTAAATAATATTCCAGTTTTTTTACTTACATTTATTCATTTAATATGTACAACAACCCTATGAGATAAGCTCTCTTATTGCCAATTTGTTTATGGGAAAATCAAATCTAAGTAATTTAAATAACCTTCTGAAGGATTGTTATCCATTATACTATATATTTTCTCCTTAAATTTCCCTGGGATGCAAAAGGAGAGAGAGAACACAGGGGATTGCCCTGCCACAGAGACAGGGGGGATGGGGGGATGGGGGTGGGAGGGATATTATCCATGGTGGTGGAAAATGGGCACTGGTGGAGGGATGGGTATCTGATCATTGTATAATTGAAACCAAAGCACATAAAATTGTAAATCTACAACTTTAAAAAAAAAATAAAATACAATAAAGGGAAAAAAAAAATTTCCCTGGGATGCTGGGGAAACTCCTTGAGTCACCCCTTCCTTCATGACATGTGAGCAGGACACAGACAGGTCTTAGCCTGGTTTCTCCCCAACTCCTCTTCTGCCTTGAGGGGCAAGGATATCTCTCAGGTGGATACACACTGGGTTGTGGGCCCCAAGACTAAGAATGTTCCTTCTTCAAAGAACTTTCAAATAATTATTCAGACTCTCTGTCAGCATTGAGAGCCTTTCTTGGTCAATAAAAAGCCCAAGGTCAAATGCTTTTCCCATCACCTTATCCAAGGAATGACTACAATTGAGTCGGTTGTGCCTCTACACCAATGTGCATGCTCAGTAAACAACACAAGAAAGAAAACAGACCTCCTATCAGTACCAGTGTTCAGAGTATCCAGTTGTAATATAGAAGCAATTGGACTCAGTCTTTTCTAAAGTATTTCCTGATTACTCAACTTCATTCTGTCCTCACTTCGATCTATTGTCTCTGGGTAAGTGACGTATTTCCCTTTGTGTCTGTTCCTCTTCCCCTCCCTTGAAGAGTCCCAAGAGATATGCTGGAAAATACCAACTCAGAACCATCATCTGAAGTATAGGGATGAAAGTGATTGCCTTGTATACAGCTGATGAAGGTCCTATCCTCATCACCACATGGTCTCCTGAGCACCACCAGATATGGTCCCACAGAGTTAATGGCTGGCTCCATTGAAATGGATGCAGTCGTCCCAAAATGAGCCGTGCCACTTGAAAGATGAATCCTCCAGATGGTATATTTTCCCATCTTCTTACCTCTTTATTCTATTTGTTTTTCTAAAACTTCCCTTTTCAGTAAATAGGGTGGGGGTGGGGCAGAAGGAATTGTTTATGCACAAAGAAAGTCTCACTAATTAATCCTAGCTCTTGGGATAATTTGGGGATATTCTTGTTTCCCTTTTTTTTTATTCGCCTATTTTCTTCTTCATCTGTCCATATGCTGTGTACCTTATTAAATAGCTTCCTCTTGTTTTCTTCCTAGAAGTTTTCCTACTGAAACTACTGGTATAGATAACCACATTGGTGGCTCCTAGTTTGAATGTTGAATTTGTTTACATACTGTTATGAAAATGAGCAGTTCTCTGCTTGAAATATAATATTTCCCCTTCCCTATCCCAGGTTTCAAAACATTGTTATTGAAGGCTAAGATTACATTGTCAGAGCTGACAACAATTTCTTTCGTGGCTCCATGGATTTTAGAAGCAAGTCCTGGCTGAGAGCCATCAGAACTCGAACTTGAGGATTTGTGAGCTCTCACTCCAGACTTCAGTCTCCTTCATTTTAAACCAGCATCTTTCTTGTCCAGCTTTTCATTTAGCTTATGACCAAAGACATTGCATCAAAGTCCCAACTGCGGCCACCATGCAATCCGCTAAAGTTTGTAGAGATGGAAGGGACGGGCAGCGAAGCTCATCTTGTAGAACAGGCAATGGCCTACTTTGAGTCAACCCAACTTTTGACGATGACTCACAAGGGTGTCTCCCTCAGCCACCCACAGAATCCAGCCAGGTGATATCCAGGTCATTTCTCCCCAGGTGAGCTGAAACACTTTTCCTGACTGGAAACGCCTTCCAGCAGCATGGTCCGGATGCCTGGGGAAACCGACATCCCACCACTTTCTGGAGGACTTGAAGAGCACAGGATGTATAGGTTTGTGTTGGGGGGAAATGTTGACCAGCAAAGAAGAACTTAGACCTCTAGAGGGACCTTTCATCCTTCCCCACTGGGCCCTCATCCACCAGCACCACGGTGTGGGAGGTTTCTTCATAATCCCAGAGGCCAGAAGACAGGAACAAGCACATTCCTCCTGAGGGCTCTGCCATCCCTGGAATGTATGACCTTGTCAAGAACAGAAAAATCACAGCTTTACTGTCCAAGCAGCAAGACCCAAATACCTCACCACAGCTCTCGCCTGACTGACTCTCTCTGTCTTGAACAAGAACCTCTTTGGGTAGCACCAGCCCCTGAGTCAATGGAGAAACTCTAGGTCACTCTGAAATCCAGGGCATGCCAATGTGGAGCTACAAACCTTGTCTCACCCTTGGGCCCATCCACATCTTTGGACAAAAACCCTTTAGGCTGAGGGAGTCGCTCTGTAGGGGACTCTCTATGCTTACCTGAGTGCCTCTCTTGACATCTCTCTCTGCTTCTGTCCTTGACACTGAATCTGTCCCTTTGTGAGTCTCAGTCTCTGGGTTTCTCTCTGTATTTCTATCTCCCTGTCTCTCTGTTTCTATCTCTGTCTCTTTCTTCTTCTCTCTTTCTTTTTATAGACACCTCAACTACACTTCCCTGCCTTACTGCACATGCAGATCTAAGGTATAGGGGATGTCTGTCTCCTGGTTGGGTCTTTCTGTAAATCTAGAGGAATACAAAAGATGGAAGATTGAAATCCCTGTCCGCCCATGTCCGTGTATCTGGGTGACTCCCTTCCCACCAGAGTGAGGGTAGAAACATTTCTGATTCCCCGAGACATCCTTCCTTCTGTTTCTCTCTCTGACACTGCTGCAGAGTAAGCAAAACATAAACTGCCCCACCAGTCCTGAGGCCTCTCAAAGAGTGTTTCCCATGACTCATTGATCTTGTAATACTATGGAAAAGAGGGGCACTGGGAGATGCTGTCATTATCCAGAGAAATAAAGGTGGGACTGGAGAGATAGTATAGTTGGAAAGGCGATTGTCTTTAGGGCAGCTCACCCAGTTTTGATTCCTGGCACCCCATATGGTCCTCTGTATCTGCCAGGAAAGATTCCTGAGCAGAGAGTCAAGAGTAACACCTGAGCACTGCCAGTTGTGGCCCCCAAACAGAAACAAAAACAAAAAATTCGAGAGTAATGAAGGAGAAGTCCGAGCAGCTGTGAAGAACAAGCACCTTTGTTCATTCCCCTCTTTCTTCTTTGAGCTAACTTATAAACATTCTCAGACATCATTAATTGTTTCATAGAGAACTTTCAGTTTACTGGTACTTAGAAATATAATCCCATCCCTTAGAAATATAATTCCATTCCATGCTAGGTGAGACTAGATAGTAAAGAGAGAGAGAGAGAGAGAGAGAGAGAGAGAGAGAGAGAGAGAGAGAGAGAGAGAGAGAGAGAGAGAGAGAATTTTTAATTAAGGGGGATTTTTTAAAATGAGAATAAATCAAATCACAATTTTCTTTTTTTTCTTTTTGGGTCACACCCAGTGAGGCACAGGGGTTACTCCTGGCTCTGTACTCAGGAGTTACTCCTGGCGGTGCTTAGCGGACCATATGGGATGCTGGGAATCGAACCTGGGTCGGCCGCATGCAAGGCAAACGCCCTACCCACTTGTACTATTGCTCCAGCCCCAAATCATAATTTTCTTAAAGGAAGGCCATGTGCCATACTTATACGGATGGATTACTTGCACTTACCTCCCTGGATCGAGAGACAGTTGCTTTGTTAGCTCGGCCCTTTGGTGGGGTGGCAGGAGAAGTCAGATGAGACATTCTGTTGAAGAATAAATGTATAATTGCAAATTATTCCAAACACGTAGAGAACTTCATTTTTTCCTTTCACCTATCATCTCTCTCTGTCTTGGTACTAGTCCACTAAGAACATGAGAACAGATTTATGTAAGAGGTCCTTTTCCTTCCTGTATGGGCTTGCTCTTCTGGGTAAGGTCCCATTTGGAGGGAGATGGGGAGAAGCAACTGATAAGCATGGAGGAAGAGAGAAGCCCTAACATGACTTCTAGTTCCTTAACTTGCTTCTTTTCCAGATGGCTGCTGAGAGCCTCAATGATCTGGCCACCCCAATCATGCACCGGGCTCTAAAGCATCCTTAGTTCTGGGGAGATGGCTCAAAGGGCTGGAGTACATGATTTACATGTGGGAACTACTGGCTTGAATCCAACATCAATGGTCCCTGAACACTGCCCATGAGTCCCTGACAAATTAAATGAGACATTCTTTGCTTCATTATCTAAGATGTGTAATACATGAATTTATTAGTAGAATTCTTATGACATAAGCATAGGTGAATTCATCAAATCAGGTATAAAATATATACATACAAGCACATTTATTTAAAAATGGTCTAGATTATTTTATCTTACTTTGGGGGGTTGAATTATATAGTTATTTAGTTTTTTAAGCAACTGCTGCAAAAAAAAGATCTCTAGATATGCTTATAACATAAAACATTTACTGTTTCCCATTTCTTTTCTTTATTTTTCTTTTTAGCTTTTGGGTCATACCCAGTGATGCTCAGAGGTTACTTCTGTCTCTGCACTCAGGAATTACTCCTGGCAGTGCTCAGGGGACTATATGGGATACCGGGGATCGAACCCAGATCAGCCTCACACAAGGCAAATGCTCTACCCGCTGTACTATTGCTCAGGGCCGCATACTGTTTCCCATTTTTATGGATGTATCATCATTTACAATACTGCTAATGGTTCTTTCATGCATACATTATTCCAACACCACACCCACCACAAGAGCAAACACATTTACTCTCTTGAGGTTGGGGAGTGGAATGGACATTTCTCAGGCAGGAGACGAGTGGATAATTAAGTGTGAACTGTGGATAATTGCTCCCTAGTGATCAGACACAAAGCAGAAGAGAATATACGAAGAAGCCTACTTTCTCTGCAGAGGGCTGACAAAGTTCATTTGCGATGCACTAAGGCAAGTGGGTAGAATGAAGATTTTCAAGTTAGGATCACTTTTTATTAGACAAGGTGTTAACCTTAATCTTGTAGCACATGAAAAAAAAATCACTGGAGGGTTTTAAAAAATTCACTAGGGAGCTGGAGAGACAGCACTATGGGTACAGAACATGCCTAGCATGTGGCTGGTCTTCCCTGACATTTGGTTCCCTAAGCATGAAGTCAGGAGTAAGCCTTGAGCACAGTTGGGTATGGCCCCCAAACAAACCAACAAAAGAATTCATTAGTCTACCACCCCCCCCCAAAAATTATGGTTATATTTAAAAGGGGGATGAGTAGAGTGTGAATGGTGGTGTTTTGAAAAAGCTCTGAATTTTTATTAAAGTTCGATCCTAGTTAAAACCATGGACTCAGACAACAACTGTTACTAACGTTCTAGCTATAATCCCGATTTATCTTTCACATAAAGCACAAATACAATGGAGTACTATGTAACTGTTAGAAAAGATGAAGTCATGAAATTTACATACAATGGTACTACATGGAAAGTATCATGCTAAGCGAAATGAGTCAGAAAGAGAGGGATAGACATAGAAAGATTGCATTCATCTAGGGGATATAAAGTAACAAAATAGGAGATTAATACCCAAGAATAGCCGAGATCAGTACCAGGAGGATTACTCCATAGCTTAGAGGCCAGCTGGGCATTCTAGGGGAAAGGGCAGCTCAGATAGAGAAGGGAGCACCAAATAAAGGGTGTTTGGAGGATTCTCCCAGGAGGGGAGATGCATGTTGAAAGTAGACTATGGACTGAACATGTTTGCCACTCAATGCCTCTTTTGCAGACCACAATACCCAAAAGGAGAGAGAGAGAACAAAAGGGAATGCCCTGCCACAGAGGCAGGGGGGATGGGGGGATGGGGGTGAGAGGGATATTATCCATGGTGGTGGAAAATGGGCACTGGTGGAGGGATGGGTATTTGATCATTGCATAATCAAAACCCAAGCACAAAAATTTGTAAATCTACAACTGTACTGCATGGTGTTTCACTAATAAAAAAAAAATTTTTAATTTTTTAAAAAAAAAAAGTACAAATAAGTGGACACAGTGACGCCTTTGAAAACTTCCCTAAGGAAGCATGGACCAAAGCTGAAAACAAGAAAAGAAAGGGACAGGGTGGATTTAGCAGTAGAGCCCCACCTCTCTCTTGAGAGCACAGTGGTAAACCCGAGTGAGATCGTAGGAAAGTGTTTACACCAGGCAGGCTGGTTTGGACACAAATATTTACACTGCACAAAGACTCCATCATGGCTCTAATGAGTGGTTGTCAACCTCAATTACATTCCTCAAACCCAAGCCACACTGTAGATCAATCAAATTAGCACCTCAAAGGATGGGACCAGGTAGCATTTTCTGAAGCTTCCCAGTTGATCACCACGTTTGGTCAAGATTGAGAAGCCCCACGCCCCGTTGCTGGAGCAATAATATAGCAGCTAGGGCTTTTGCCTTGCATGTGGCTGACCCAGGTTCAATCTCCTGCACCCGTTATGGTCTCCCAAGTTTTACAAGTAGTGATTCCTGAATGCAGAGCCAGGATTAATCCCTGAACATTGTCATGTGTAGCCCCAAAACCAAATAAATAAATAAGTTTGAGACCATTGGTTACACTTGTTGTCCAGAAAGCCTGTTTGTTTTTTGTTTTGTTTTTTCTAATTTTGTTTTTACCTTTCCCAGCTAGATTAAAATAGGTCAGCAATCTCACAGGCACAGACCAAGGTCTAGGAGTAAGATGTAAAAATTTAGATAAAAGTAAGGGGCGAATGGAATTTTAAAAAATCAAGGGGTGAAAATAAACTATTGGCCGTTAACCCTATTATAGGTAAGAGAGACAAAGATAGATTTCTCTGGGGGTGAAAAGGCAAGGAGTGAACATACAGGGGACACACACAGGCCTCAGTGCACGTATGAGCTGTCAAACCCCTCATGCAAATCTCTGCCAGCTAGTCCCCGAGGCCTCCCCAAGGAAATACAGATCCAATTACACGTGGATGTGGGAAACTTTAGCTCACCACCTCTCTTCTTGCTAGGTATGTTCTCCGGTTCCCCCGAAATTTTACTGATATTTAAATGTTTTCCTGGGCCAGGGAAATGGCTTAATAGGCTGAATACTTGCCTGGCTTGCATAAAGCCTGGGTTTAATCCCCAGCACCATGTGGTCCCCAGAGTGCCACCTGGAGTGACCCCTGAGCACAGAGCCTGAAATACAACCAGATATGGCCAATCCACCTCCAATAATAAATAAATAAATCTATTCCAACGTATCCCTCACTCAGGCCAGTTACTGTGTCACACATTTAAATAACATAAATTCTAAATTATAGAAAATAGAGTCAAAGCTGTGTATACTACTGTCTACAGCTAAACTTCTTCCTATGACATCCCTCAATAGGCCTCGAGCTGCCTTCTCTAATTCCAGGAACCACAGCAGCCTGTTCCTCAAGAAAATCAAGCTAATAGGAAGTTCTTTATGTAGGGTGAGAATTTGTTTCCCTAGGATTTTCCTGCTTCGGGTGTGGTTTAAACAATTAGAGTTAAAGAGAGTAAGAGGGAAGAATCTGAGACTTTTTATCGCCTAATTTTCTGCTTTATAACTTGAGGGTCACCCTTGCTGATCCTGCCACTTTGTCACTCGGCTCTGAGTGCATTTAAGGTTACTTTCTTCTTTTTTGGATGCGGTTCCAGTATTACAAAAACTACCAAAGCAGTTCAAGAAGGAGCACACTTGGCACCTCTGGGAAACCCGTACTACAAAGTGTAGGTTTGCAGCTGCCACAAACACCAACATCGTTACCTTGTCGAACACTTCAGCACAAAACTGGACATGGAAATTTTACCTCTGACATTCTGGAGATCCATTTCGCAGAGGTTATTCGTCCCTTTAAGGCTTCTCTTATCTAAATAAATGAAAGGAGGTAAGAATTAAAGCATCTAGAAGTTGACAAGTGTACCTAAACCTGGAAAAGATTATGACAAGGGATTGCATTGCTGTTGCTGGCTTGGGAAGTCGATCAGTAACAGAAAGAAGCTGTCGGGGAAGGTGGGAACAAAGGAGAGACAGGAGCTGGTATTAAAGACTCAAGGTCAAGGACCCTATTCACAAAACCCAAGGATAGGAAATATTGTTTCCTATAAATTTGAAGAAACCTTGGCATAGCTTCGGAAGTATCTTCAAAAACACCTGAGTGACATTTGGATCATTGAGTATTTCCCACAGTGTGTCACTTATTCAAACTTTTTATACTGAGACAATCCAGTTTTAAAAGGAGGGCTCAGAAAAGATGAAGTTATGAAATTTACATACAAGTGGTACTACATGGAAAGTATCATGTTAAGCGAAATGAGTCAGAAAGAGCGGGATAGACACAGAAAGATTGCATTCATCTGGGGAACATAAAGCAGCAAAAAGGGAGACTAACACCCAGGAATGGCTAAGATTAGTACCAGGAATTTTGCTCCATGAATGGAAGGCCAGCCACATGTTCTAGGTGAAAAGGAAGCTCAGATAGAGAAGAGAGCACCACATGAAGGGTGTTGTGAGGACCCTCTCAGGGTGGGAGAAGCATGCTAAAAGTAGTCTATAGACCAAACATGATTGCCACTCAATGCCTCTCTTGCAAAACACAGTACCCAAAAGAATAAAGAGAGAACAAGGGGGAATACCCTGCCACAGAGGCAGGATGGGACGGGGGGGAATGGGGGGTGGGAGGGATGCTGGGACCCGTGGTGATGGATGACGGGCACTGGTGGAGGGATGGGCACTTGATCATTGTATAACTGAAACCCAAGCACAAAATTTGTAAGCCTATAACTGTACCTCATGGTGTTTCACTAATAAAAAAAGAAAAAAATAAATTAAAAAAAATTTTAAAAAAAGGAGGGCTCAAGGAAGGAGACAGAACGGGGATTATGATGCTTTCCTTACACTTGGCCAACTCCAGTTCCATCTTTGGTACCACATATAATCCTTTAAGCATTGCCGGAAGTGATCCCTGAGCACAACCAGGTATGGCACCCCACAGAGATTAATTGTAGCAACTGGAGGGAGTTAACATTTTATGCTTTATTTGTTGAGATTTTATTTGCTTTCCTCACCGTCCACCTTTACTGGTTTTCTGGAGAACTTTCCTCTCTGCACCCTGTGTATTCAGGATAAAAGTCAGGAACTCCGTCTCCCCATGTCCCTTACAGCTTAGGTGCTGTTTTAGGACGTGGATGCAGCCCATCAAACATGTAGCAGGTGGAAGGGGACTTCCAAGACAGCAGAAGCAGCAACTGGACATTTGCACTCATTGTCTGCCGTGGGTCCAGCAGGCCCAGCAAAGCAGTGGTGTCTCTTGTGAAGCAGTTCTGTGCCACAGATTGGGAATGATTCCTGGGGTGTGGCACTCACACTGAGAAACCCAAGAGAGACCTTCCCAAAGATGATATTGTGAGATTTAATAAATACCTTCTCTGTTTCAGCTAGTTAAGAGTGAGTGTCTGAACAGATTTTAGGCAGGCTACTTGGTCTACTTCCTCAACTATAAAGCTAAAAATAGGAATCCCTTCAAATTTTCTGAAAGTTAATGCTTCACCTGATAAGAGCTTGAATGATGATAGATATTGCTTGCATTGTAAAGAGCCACATGGCTTTGGACATGTGTCTATATAAACGATGGAGCTGAGACTCCAATAAGTAGTTTTACTAGTGAGTATTTCAGATATTGATAATGCAGAAAATAAAAAACACAAGAGGATTGTACAGTACCTTTGGGTCCAGGATTGTTCCAAACACCAAAATGAAGAACCCCTGAGAAAGTAAAGAGAGAAGAAGATCCATTTACATAAAAATAATGAGGACTATAACAACAAATACCAGCATTAATTTTGGAACTGATAAAATGATTTTTAAAAAAGAAAAGAAAACTATGTTCTTAAATGTTTGGCTCATTTTAATCACAACACTGGGATTCCTCCAATCAACAAAGAAGCCTCTTCCATATGCCAACCACTGATCTAGATATTTTGAGGTACTCCAGTAACTAAATACTTGGGATAACCTAGTAACTAAATAGACCAAGATCCCTAATTCTTACACAACTATTCAGAAATTTAATTTTATTTTCACAAAATGAAAGTGTTTGGACATGTATCAGGAGTTTTGCATCTAACCAAAATTTGTGATTCAAGAAAGAGCAATAGCATAGTGGTAGGGCGTTTGCCTTGCACGCAGCCAACATGGTCAATTCGAGTTCGATTCCTCCGCCCCTCTCAGAGAGCCTGGCAAACTACTGAGAGTATCTCGCCCGCACGGCAGAGGCAGGCAAGCTACCCGTGACATATTCAATATGCCAAACACAGTTAACAACTAGTGTCACGATGGAGACGTTACTGGGCCCGCTTGAGCAAATCAATGAACAACGGGAGGACTGTGACCGTGAAGAAAGAGTTAGGTAAGAAGGTCCGGGGATAATCGTTCAGTAATAGAGTGCCTGCCTTGACACCATGAGGTCCAGGGTTAAATCCCCAGACTGGAAAAAAAAAACAGAAAATCCCAAGCTTCACTGACCAATCTTTCTCCCAGGTAAGCCCCCTTGGAACCAGAGAGAGAGAGCTCAACTAGTTAACTTGGCCTCTATTATGCACTTGCCTTCATAACAGAGGCCAAGCTTCAATTCCTAGCATTACATGTGCTCTCAAGAACCACAAGAAATAATCTTCAGACCCAGAGCAAGTACATCCCACACACAGTAACCTCCCCCCTCCACACACACACACAAACCTACCAGATTGGTCCCAGAAACAAAATCAAAATCAAGTCAAAAAACAAGGTAGGTAAGAAATTGCCTTATTATCCCTGGACAATTTAAATAAGGAAAGAAACTCCCAGAGGAAAAAACAAAAATAGATCATCTTAGCTTCCAAGAACATCTTAACCCTCCTTTCCTCTTTCCACAACCGAAGAACACTACATAACTTGCCAGAAAAAAAAATTGAGAACATAGTTACTTAGAAAAACAAAGACACAAAACAGATTGAACAGGGTAGGGAGAGAGTACAGCACTCTCCTTGCATGAAACCAACCCAGGCTCAGTCCCTGGCACCACATATGGTCCACCTAAGCTCTGCCAGAAGTGATCTCTGACTGCAGAGTCAGGAGGAAGTCCTTGGTACAGCTGTTGTTTCCTCTCCCTGAGAAAATGATTGAAATTCTAAGCGCTCAATGAGTGTCCAGAAATATATGATTTAAATATAATCCAGAGAGAGAGAGAGAGAGAGAAAATCAATTAGCTCATGCCTTATTGTCCATACAAAGTAAGATTCCAATAAATCAAAAGGAGCCTGCCCCTCTATAATAATCATCCATCTGAGTTTTCAGTTTTGTTTTTAAGGAAAGGAAGCTGAGAGATTCAACTTTCAAAATGCAATCGTAACATTTATTAGACAAAATTTCTCTTGAAAGTATAGTTACTCAGGCCTTGGTTCACCTCAGAAAGCAAGTGAGATAATGACCTTTGATTGATTCATCTCCTTGTTTAACTGCTCTAGTCGCATGGTTGAATGGGAGCCCCTACCCAGGCATAGGCCTGCTAATCTATGTAGGTTTAATACAAAAGGCATCATACAGATGTTATAACCAGTTGGTCATTAGAAGGAACAATTCTAACAACCCAGCTTCCAAGATGTAGAAAAGCTTGGTTGCTTGGTTGAGTGGTAGAGGACACCACAGGGACAAGCATAAGACCACCTGTTCTGTTTATTGTCCCCATACACTAATATACACATCTTCATTCACCCAATCCAACAAGTAATGCAAATCCTGGAGTGCTCCTATAACTTTCGTGTGATGCTAGTAGCCTACAAGAATAACCACTGAGAAAGCTCACTGTGACTCTGGAGAAATGTTGCCAGTATGGTCCATTATTACAACCTAGCATTTCTGATGATTCAAATACATCTCAGTCTTGATATGGTTTAGGAATATATGGTGAACCAGAGCATCCATAAATTTCTCCCAGAAGTTAAATTATTCAAACATATGAGAATTACAGTATAAACCTGTTCCTTTGTAAATATATAATTCTTTAGCTAAAAGATTCAAATGGATTTCTCTTTTTCTGAGATGCTTAACTTCTTGAGAATATATATATGTCTGCAACATTTAACATAATACTTGACAGAAAATAAATGCTCAATAAATATGGTGTCTGTGTACACCATATGTGTATATCTCTGTATGTTTTATTGCTTTATTTATGAATATGAATGCAACCTGCATTCATTAACCAATATTAATAACTATTGCATTATATAATATATTAATAGTTATAAATATTATAACTGCAAAATAATCTTCTGCTTGGATCAGGAAAATCTTCCACTTGATTATCATTTTGTTGGTCCCTGCTACCACATGAAAAGTCACACAGTTTCATTCAGAAAATTTGAAAAAAATTATTGATATATAAATTATGTTATCTGATCAAGTAAAATTTGTATAGATTTTCTGCTCTAACAGAAAAAGCACACTTTGAGCAAGGAAATCTCAAGATTCTCTCCAAAATTTCAAAATATTTGCTTTAGACTGAATGTTTGTGCCATCCCTGCCCCCTAAAATTATTAAATTCTTATACCCAATGTGATGGTATTTGGAAGTGGGCCTTTGTGAGATAATTTTATGAGGGTGGCATTATCAAAAATAGGATTAAAGAGAACACAGAGGATTCATCCCCTTGACCTTGCCACCATGTAAGGTGATAGAAAGAAGATAGATAGGAAGCAGGTTCTCCTGACATGAATTCTGCATGAACTTTGATCTTGGATTTTCTCAGCCTCAAGAACCGTAAGAAATTAATTTCTGTTCCCCATCATACATCCAGTCAATGGTACATTATAATCACAGCAGCCCAAAGTGTCAAGATATTTACTTTTCTCCTCCTAGAAAAATGGTATGGGTCCTTACACTTGATCCAGTCCACAATTACTTCTTTAAGAAAAGATTCCAACCAGATGTCATGGATTGACACAGTGAGAAGTCAAGGCAGCAAGTGACCAGTTAATAATACTTCTACTAAAGGCAGTGGTGAAGTTTTAAAACCAATGGATAAGGGCTGGAGTGACAGTACACTGAGGAGCGAACTTGCCTTGCATGCAGCCGACCCAGGTTGGATCCCCAGCATCCAATATGGTCCCCTGAGCACTGCCAGGAGTAATTCCTGAGTGCAGAGCAAGAGTAAGCCCTGAGCATAGTCGGGTGTGGCCCCAAAAAGCCATAAATAAATAAATAAAAATGAATTATCGTAAATGAATGAATAAATAAATCCAATGAATATAAAAGGCCTTTTATATTCTCTTTTATACTTTATATTCTGGCATTGCAAAGGTGACCTAATTAATAAAAAAATCTATATAATCAGCTGTTTTAAAATTCACAAACAAAAATAAAATAATGGAAGCACTACCCATTGGGCTGTACCACTGTAGCACTGTCATCCCATTGTTCATTGATTTGCTCTAATGGACACTGGTAACGTCTCCATTGGTCCCTGTCACATGCTAATGTAGCCCAATGGCATCTTCTCGCTCCGGGAACACAAAGTGAGACTTTTTTGGTACTGTTTTTGGCACATCAAACGTGCCACGGGTAGCTTGCCAGGCTCTGCAGAGCAGGTGGGATACTCTCAGTTGCTTTCCAGGCTCTCTGAGAGGGACGGAAGAATTGAACCCCAGTCAGTCGTGTGCAAGGAAAACGCCCCACCCGCTGTGCTATCGTTCCAGCCCACACCCATAGCTTACCAGGATTTTTCCCCTCTCCTGATGTGCTTATGAATCACTATTCTCAATCTTCTCTTCATCAGTGTCAGTATCAGCTGTCCTTCTTCCTAATCCGTCCTTAAACTCCACTTGTCCCACTACTTAAAGCTCAACTGACTATCTCCACCTCAGTTGCTAGATGTATGATCCTCCTATCCACTCAGTCCAATGTTGCCCTGATCCTCTCACAGGTTGATAAGTAACAATTGGCAATTCTCATCTGCAGAATTCACCACCTTCATGGTTAGATCTTCCCAGATTGGCTGATTTAAACCCACCCAACATGGAAACAGGAATAGGTGGGCATCACATTTTTTGTGTGTTTCTGTACAGAAAAAATGCATACAGATGACCTTGAGTATAATAAAATGTAGAAAGACAATTAGAAAGTGAGTGTGATGAGTTTCAATAATATATGACATTTGTTTTACCTCTAACTCATTAAATTGCAATTCTTTGTAATATCATTTTAATTTGTCTCTACACACAGCTCACCAAAATTTCTGAAGACCAAAACTAGTTCTCATGAACCACTGTAAGTCAGCTTCAGCACACCACTGACTAAAACCTGCCCCTTTCTGGCCCTCACTTCAACCGTGTCTCAGCTATTCACTGTCCTATTAGTACTAACCAATCTCCTCCGTGCAAAGCAGAAATTTAATTGAAATTATAAACTGATCCTGATAAATTAGGCAGAGGATATCATGGTCGCAAAATACTAGGCACCCAGACTTGTCCAAAACAAAATTCAGTTAAGGTACACCAAAGGCGATGAAAAAAGAAGGGGTGAGAACTCATTAAAGGTTCTGCTGAAGAGAAATTTGGAAATCTTAAGTTTCCTAGTGCAGTCTTATTGAGGACTGACTGCATAAATGTGGGTAAGGACATTGATAACTACCAAAAAAAATTGAAGTACAATGAACATTTTCTATGGAAATGCCATACAGATTCAAAAGGTGGGGCATCCCTATTATTATTATTATTATTATTGATGTTGTTCTTCAAGGCATCAGAGTTTTAATTGTAAATGACATCATTGATACTTGAAAATTTTTTTTTTGCTTTTTGGGTCATACCCGGCAATGCACAGGAGTTACTCTTGGCTCTGTGCTCAGGAATTACTCCTGGCGGTGCTCAGGGGACCATATGGGAAGTTGGGAATCGAACCTGGGTTGGCCGCATGCAAGGCAAACGCCCTACCAGCTGTGCTATTGCTCCAGCCCCGATACTTGAAAATTTTTTTTTAAATGGGAAATAATTAATTTGAAATCTCTGTTATTTATTAGGCAAAACATTTATTTTTTAAAAAGGCATATATTCAAGGGGAAAAAGATAATATTGTCCTATATCTAAAGGACAATGTAGGGACTGAAGAGATAGCACAGAGGGTAGGGCGTTTGCCTTGCACATGGCCAACCCAGGTTCGATTCCCAGCATCCCATATGGTCCCCTGAGCACCGCCAGGAGTAACTCCTGAGTGCAGAGACAGGAGTAACCCCTATGCATCGCCAGGTGTGACCCAAAAAGCAAAAAATAAATAAATAAAATAAAGGGCAATGTAGTCCTTCAGAAATGTAAAGAATTCCTTTTCAATTAGTTCTTATCTACTTCACTTGATCACTTGACATCCCTTTACTCATCGATTTGCTCAAGCAGGCACCAGTAACATCTCCATTTGTCCTTGTCGCATGCTAGTGCAGCCCAATGGTGTCTGCTCGTTCTAGGAACATGAACAGTCTCAAACCAATAGTTCAGGGTCTTGAAGAAGAAGTCTGACTATCTCATAGGTGGGCGGCCACGCGATCTTTTGACGTCCCGTGGAATCCAGTCGGTAAGGGCTCTAGTCCAGCGGTTGTCTCCAAATCTCATTACGTGTCCAGCCCATCTGACTTTTGACACATTGGCAAACGAGACAGCATCCCTGATTCTTGACACATCGACGGAGATTGGAACTCCAGATTCTTTCTCTCATTTGAGTGAAGAGGTTTACTCCAAGCATAGTTCTTTCGATTCCTCTTTGGGAGATCTGAATAATGTTCTCAGCCTGTTTTCGTAGGGCCCAGGTCTCTGAGGCGTATGTTAATGCAGGAAGAACAGTGGAATCGAAGAGATGTGCCCGGAGCCAGAGGTTCTTCATCCTCTCACCTATTTCTTCTACGCTCTTGAAGATGTTCCAAGTCGCTCTCTTCCTCCTGCGCAACTCAGGTGCCAGGTGATTCGTCATGTTGACTTCTCGATCTAGGTACACATAACTGTTGCATTCGGAGACGTTCATTCCATTGAGAGCAAATGGAATGTCAGGAACAAGACTGTTTCTCATAAACATATCTACATATGAAATATGTTATCAACATATTTAACATTTATAATAAAGCTTAACTCCTTGGTACACTTTTGTCAGAAAAAAAGTAAAAACTGAAATTTTAATCAAGAAGGGAATTATTGCACATAGAATATTATGCCATCTATACATGCTAGAGTTGTTGTTGTTTTGTTTTGGGTTTTTTTGGTTTTTGTTGGTGGTGGTGGTGGTGTTTTTTTTTTTTTTTTGTATGCTAGGTATTGAATTCAGTGTTTTTTACAGAATTAAGGCATGAACTCTGAACCATATCCCCCCAATGTTAGGACACATCTTTAAGTGAAAAAGTACTTTGCATAAGGAAAACACACTTCTGTGTAATCCTTATATTATGGGAAAATATCTTTATATATAAGCATTGAAACTGTCAGTTCATATTAACCAATATGAACTTTGGTTAATCGATAGAAGTGGAATAAGAGAGAAAAGTAGCTACTTAATGGCAGTATGTATGACTTTCTCCATGAATTTCTGATGGTTGTCAATGGTAACAAAGAATTCAAAATAGAGCAAAATATAATGAATGAGTACATTTGAGCATATACAATGTAGTATATGCAGATATTGATTTACAACCATGTATACATGAAATCTGTTATACATTTACAAACAAAATGTATAAATTGTGTAATGCTATTAGTTTCAAGAATGTTTAAATGAATAAATATGTATTTCAGTACTTCCAGATCCCTATTTAGATTTGCAGGGAGATGACATTATTTAAATTCCTAACAGCAATTCAGTTTTTGGCTAAGCATCTTTAGGATATATATAATTGATGCTGTCCCCCTCACTATTTTATTTCACTTTTCTAAAAATTCCTGTAGATAAGAAAAACAGTTTGGAAAACTCAAGGAAATAACTCAAAAGAATGTTACACACTCTTGTATAAAAGAGTTAAAATTTGAACGTAGGCTTTTCTGGAACGACTTATCCCCTTACTTAACATGCTATTCTAAATCCACTGTCTTTTAGACTACTGAGTCAAAATATGATACGCTAAGCCCCACATCACAAAACTCCTTCCTGAATTCTCTCACTTTAAGCTTGGTCAGTTGCATTGTGCTTACCTGAAATGCATTGAGCAAAGAGAAGATAATATGGAAGGTCAGGGAGCGATCATTGACAACGGTGGCTATTCCGAATCCCCAGGTCAATCCTAGAAGAGGCGTAAGGATGGCGATGTTCTTACTGATTCGCACAATGGCTCTCACTTCATGGAACATGGAGCTGCCAATGGCAGCTCGCTGTGTCTTGACAATCACCAGTGTGACTGTGATGAGGTTGACGACCACAATGGCCAGAGCAGGGACTACAAAGGCCAGGAGGGCCTTGGTCATGTCCCAATTGAGCCAACAGGCCTCAGGCCGCAGGTAGCCTTTGCCAGGTTCCGTGACTGCAACTGTGATCACAGCAATGATCAAAGGGCACCCGTAGCCCACAGAAAAGAGAGATGCCACTAAGACTGACTTGGGCAGCGTGTGGAAAACAATCAAGATTCCATAGAGGATCAGGAGCGCCTTGGCAAGCATCCAGAAAAACACAGCAAGGTAAAAGAAGTGAACGAAAAATGTTGCCGCCACACAGGCATTGTGGTGTGCCACCGGGCCACTAAGAAAAGAAGCCACGACAAACCACACATCAGCCATCAGGAGGGTGGCTGCCACATTAGCAATGCACAGGTGGCGTAAATAGGAAATCTCTGTCTTCGTCACCTGGCTCCAGACCAAGGCCTCAATGGACAAGCAAAGGATCAAGCTGCAAATAGAAATGCCCAGCCCTATGTAGGTTATGTACGTCAAGATTGGGCTCTCCAAGATGTGGGGTGACATAAGAATTGAGAAAGAGGTAAACAAATTGCTTGGCCTACATTTGCAAACAGCGTGCTGGGAGTTTTCTTGAATCATCATGCAGGCCTGCCGGTCCCATCTGCTCTCCAAGGAGTGCCAGCCAACACACTGTGTCCTCCTTTCCTCAGACTTACTGATCTTTTCAAAGCTCAGGGAGATCATTTGAAGTTCCTTGGGCAAAATGACAGACAAGACAAGTCCATTCACGGTGTTGTTTTCCAGAAGACTGGCTTCCAAGATGGCCCCCAGGGTGGGAAACGCAATGCTGACCACCTGAGATGGGGAAGGCAACTTCTGAAGTTCATCTCGGCTGATCATCACCCTCCCCGTGACGTTGTGGTCAGTGTCATTCACTCTCATTGAAAAAGTCAAATTCTTTCCATTGTTCTCTCCAGATATGGTTGTGCCCAGAGTGTGAATGAAGGCATCCAATATATCAATGGGATGTTTTTTCACAAGTAAATTCCTGGCAAAGGAATTGACTGAATGTAACAAGACATTGCTGCTGTTTTGGTCAGGAATGAAGGTCCAATTGGAGATGCTTTTGCTGTTAAGAATGTGGTTGGCCATGGCACTGTAACTCTGTCAATAAAGAATTTGAATTAGGAATGAACCATTCTCTGAATCTACCAGCATATGCAAGATTGACTTTTATAAGTGTGCTTCCTAGGCATCCCCGGGAATATTTTAGAGACTCAAAAATCTCAGCTCTCGGGGTCGGAGCAGTAGTTCAGTGGGTAGGGCATTTGCCTTGTATGCGGCCAATCCAGGTTCAATCCCCAGCATCCAATATGGTCCACCAAGCACCACCAGGAGTTATTCCTGAGTGCAAAGCCAAAATTAAACTCTGAGCATCGCTGGGTATGACCCAAAAAGCAAAAACAAACAAACAAACAAACAAAAACATCAGCTCTTAACCCAGACCTAAACAAATGAGTTTCATTATCAACATGAAATGCAGGTGACCCCAATAGCTCCGAAGCTCCCACTGGACCACAGAGCTACAAGAAAATCACCCTGCTTGCATTTATAAAATGTCTTCCTGTAAGACAGGAAGTGGGCATCCTTCCTTCTTTCCTTCTTTATAATGTGCTCATTCCCATGGTCAGTTCTGCATCACACCTGGGTAAAATTGGCAGTTTTCTTATTCTGGTGAGAGCACCCATTACATGATTAATGTCTGTGAAATCCTAACTGTGTAAGAGCCTTCACCAGAAGCTAGAAAATAAGGAATTGACTATAATGTTTGACATCCACTTTTTATTCTGGGCTCAGAAGCAAATTAATGGATTCTGCTCCATTTCTCATTTTCACAGCAACTACACTTGGGTATCTTCCATTTTAGCAACTTTTCTGATTCACAATAAAAAGTAAGAGAAATCTTCCTCGAGAATGGGTTTCCACAAACCAAAATCTACATTGGAAAAGCATTTACCAGTGTGCGATTCAGTACTTGGTATGTGCTTTCCCTAAATCTTTGTTACTTGAACGTATTCAATTTTTCCATTAGATTTTTAGTCTTTCTTTGAGGAATTAAATATTCCTATACTGGGCATTGAAGATACTTAAGTGCTAGTTTATTGGCTTTTTGGCTAAGATCAAGTATGGAAAATCTAGGTGAAAGACAGGATTTTAGTGCTCAAAAGAGCAAAGAACACTTAGCCTAAGCTGCAACTCTTTTCTTCCATAAAAATGTTGTAGCAAATCTTTAGAGCCACTCACCTGCATCTTTGCCTTATCAACACCTCCCCGGAAGGCAACTGAGGTAGAGATGTTGTGTAAGAGGTCCACAATGACAGCGATGTTTCCCGGCATCCTGGGAGACTCCTGGATCTTCCTGAGGACACAGGACAGATCCTTCGGACACCTCCGCAACAACTTCTCAGTAATGGTCTCTTGCTTTGCAGCATATTCATGAATTTTAACATTTTCTTTAAATGGTTGGACCGAATTTGCTTCTGTGTCCTAAGAAATGACAAAAGAAGTTTTAATCATGTGATTTTTGTTTTAAATGGAAGAGCACATTTGCTAAAATTGAGGACAACCTGATTTATTTGAGTATTGCATTATGTGTTTCTATTTTACACTTTCAAAGTCACATCTGCTGCAGAATACCAATACTAAGCTGTATGAACAGGAAGTCCCAGCTTGCCAACTGCCTACTCCATAATACCCTTCCCCAGACAAGTACTTATTGTTATATTTGGCATAGACTATATATATGTGTGTGTGTGTGTGTGTGTGTGTGTGTGTGTGTGTATGTTGCACAAAAATCCTATGCATAGACAGAAATGCGACTGAAACTTATTTTTAATATTCTCCTGGGACAAAGCACTAGTGCACATTTTAAGACAGAAATTCTGAACAGTGTTTGGAGATACCAAATGGGAGAATATGAAAATTGTAATAGACAACATCAGTCATGGATTACTGCTCTGTTAGTCCCACACTTTAGATCAGGAATGGCTCTAGGTTAGTCACCTGCCTCTCGTGAACACAGAGTTGTATTGGAATTCTGCTAACTCATTCATTTCTGAGTCGGTTGCTTCCTTTGAAAGAGCAGTGGTAAGTAATCATAACCAAAACCACATAAACCACAGAGCAAAAAATATTTACCAACTGGTCTCCAGTTGAAAAATGATGGTCTAAAAGATACACCCACTCGGAAATTATTTCCCTGTTAGTTGAACACATTTAGTCAATGATTATAGACACTGAATTTCTGCATCATAAGCCACCTCGAAGGTCTTCCTGATTTCTTTTCTAAGTCTGTGCAACAAAAGGAGGGACCATACCTCTCGGGGGCTCATACCTGACCACTAAAAGACACATGATTTCAGGGTACTGGGTATGTATCTTTGGCTTTTCACTTCCCTGGAGGTGTGGGATAGAATCTGGGAAGGAAGATAGCTAGAAAATCTTTTGTTTTGCAGTTTATAATCTAAAGTGCAAATATTTTAAGTACTAAAACATCTGATATTCTGAACAACTTTATGAAGATAAAATTTAAAAATTTGTTTAAAATGCCAACTAAAATTATATTCTTTACTTCGATATATGTGAGGGGACTGTGTGATTTTTAAATGGTGGTACATCACTAAATCTACATAACATTACAATACTAAATAAATAAATAAATAAATCATGATATATGGATCTCTGAATTTTTTTCAAAGTAGCAGAGCAGTGTGGCATTATAGAAGATTGGGGTGTACATCATTTGAAAAATCAGAAAGAAATATGTTTAATGAAATAAAAAACTGTGATTTCACTCACTGGTGGTATAGAGGAACTAAGTGAATGAACTTGACAAAGCAAAAATAAACATTTTGTCTGAATCTTCACCTAGGATCTCAAGTGAGGAGTAGACATGAAGTTAGGCACCCTGACTACAAAATGTTCTACCAAATTCACCTTGATTGTGTATATCTAAAAATGTTTAAGTTAAGAATGTGCCTTTCTGGAGCTGGAATCAAGTATGCAATCTTTGAAGTCTGGTCAGTGACTTTACCTAGAGATCTCTGGAGTTACCTCTAGCCATAACCCACCATTTCCTAGGAAAGGGAATGTTCTTAGAACAAAAAAATGAATTACACAGATTCCAATGAAAGAGTCGGGAGTTGAATTCAGAAAGGCGAAACTCCTGCTTTAAAAAAAGAGAGGGAGAGGAAGGAAAAGAAAAGAAGAAATAACATTGGCCTTATTTTATTTATTAGAATTTGACTTTTTTAAAATGACTTAAATATGTGAGACTATTTCATTGAGGTCAGCAGGTTTCTCAAGCTTTAATGGGCACAGAAATTATTTGGGGATCAGAGAGATAGTATGTAGCAGGATAGGCAAGGCAGAACCCATATCGATCCTCAGCACCACATATAATCCTCCAAGCACCACAAAATGTGAGCCTTGAGGGGCTGGAGTGATAGCACAGCGGGTAGGGTGTTTGCCTTGCATGCAGCCAGCATGGCCAACACATGTTCGATTCCCAGCATCCCATATGGTCCCCCGAGCACCGCCAGGAGCAATTCCTGAGTGCATGAGCCAGGAGTAACCCCTGAGTATTGCCAGGTGTGACCCAAAAAGAAAAAAAAATGTGAGCCTTGAGTACAGAGCCAAAAGTAAGCCCTGAACACTACCAAGTGTGCCTTGTCCCAAAAAGAACCCCCCAAAATATTAGCTGGGGTTTTCATAAAATTTAAGCTCTGATTCATCTGGTCAAGGGTGGCACCTTGATTGTGTATAACCAAAAATATTTAAGAATGTGCCTTTTTGAGGCAGCTCAGATAGAGAAGGGAGCACCAAATAAAGGGTGTTGGGAGGTTCCTCTCAGGATGGGAGATGGGTGATGAGAGTAGACTATAGACCGAACAAGATTGCCACTCAATGTCTATTTTGCAAACCACAGTACTCAAAAGGAGAAAGAAAACAAAAGGGAATGCTCTGCCACAGAGGTAGGGTGGGATGGGGGGATGGGGGGTGGGAGGGCTACTGAGACTGGTGGTGGTGGAGAATGGGCACTGGTGGGGGGATGGGGACTCGATCATTGTATAACTGAAACCCAAGCACAAAAATTTGTAAGTCTACAACTGTCCCTCATGGTGTTTCATTAATAAAAATTTAAGATAAAAAATTCAATGAAGAGTAACTATATTAGAACAACAAAAAAAAAGAATGTGCCTTTTTGGAGCTTGAGGGTTAAGATACAGCCTTTTATGAGGCCAACTAGGCACCACATGGTCTTCAGAAAACTGCTGCCAGGTGCACCTTAGACACTTGAGTACTGCCAAGGTGGCCCAAGTAATCCTGGCACTGCAGGACCTAGATCTCAGCATCCCTCTCATTGAATAGCTGGCCTCATTGCCCAAGGCCAGTGGAAAGGTCCCCTAGGTCTCCTGAGCACTCTTGGGAAGCCCTCTTCCTAAAAAATAATATGCTATTTCTTGGCTAACCAGAATAAGGAAAAAAATGTTTCTCAACACTGAATATCAGGGAAATGTAAATCAAAAATGTGCAAAATAACAATGAGCTATCAACTCATACCACTAATACTGGCCTACTTCAAAACCACCAGAAACAACAAGTGATAGGGCTGGATAGATAGTATAGCAGACAGGGTGCTTGCCTTAAAAACAGCCAACACAGGTTCTATTTCTGGCACCCCTTTATGGTCCCATGAGCTCGCCAGGAATAATTCCTAAGCACAGATCCAGGAGTAACCCCTGAGTATCACCAGGTATGACCCCAACACCCCCCCACTAACACCCCCCCAAAAAACTCAAAAAATAAAACAAGTGCTTAGAGATGAAGAGAATAGGGAATCCTCATTCCCTGTTCTCGAATTGTCATTTGCCTTATTCTATTTGGAAAACTATGGAAACATCTGCAAAACCTAAAATTAGAACTACCGTATGATGTAGTAATTCCACTCCTATATTCTATTCCAAAAACAGTAAAACATTCACCAGCCCCCACCAAAATAGATGTAGTTATGTTATTTGCATATGCTCATGCAGAATTGTTTACAACAATCAAAATCTGGAAACAACCCAAAAGCTCAACAGCAGATGAGTAGATAAAGAAGCTGCGGTGTATACACACAATGGAATACTACTCAACAATAAGGGGAAAAAAATGAAATCTTGCATTTTGATACAAAATGGATGGAAATAAGGAGTACCATTCTAAGTGAAATAAGTCAGTTGAGTGAAAGACGCCAGAGGATTCTACTCATGTGAGAGACATAAAGAAACAAAGCAAGAGAAATGACAATATCCAGTGGAAATTAACCATTAGGCTCTGGCCACAGAACTGAGGGTACCAGCGGTGAGAAAGGAGACGAAAAGAGTCCTGTGGATGGTGATGAAGGAATATTGGCACTCTAGCAGTCATTGGAATGCAGTGACATTAATTTTTATAGTTTAAAAAATATTGTTACAATAGGGTTAAGGTTCATATTATTGTTGTGGTGGTTAGGTGAACATATGTAACAATAACATATGTTCACCTAACCACCACCAGAGTCCAGGACCTTCCACAATGTCCTAGCATTAATTCCAGTCCAACCACATCATTCCCCACCCACACACTTTCCTCCTTACTTGGTATTCTCGATTCTATAACTGAGCTAATCCTGAAACTTTATAGATATTTACACTCTCATAATCCATGGCCCTTCAATTTTTAAATAAAATATAATAAGAAAGAACAGGCTATCTTTGAAGATAAAGAGCTAGTAGGAACTTGGTTACTTGTGCACGAACTCACCAATCCCCTCTTTTGTTTTCTCACCCCCTCTCTTCCTGAGAGCAGTAACATGCATTGCTAATATGAGGTCTCACTTTGCATGTGAAAGAAAGGATTTTACCTCAAAGATATTGAAGGTGTTGAGAGTTCTGCAGGTGTCAGTAGTCTTGTGCCACTGCTTTTGCCTGCATAAAAATCCCATATTTCCCTGAGTGTCAGGAGGGCAGGGTTGACTGCAGTGTGAACTGTCCACACAGACACCATCACATACAGCTAGGGGAAAAAAATAATTAGAATGAGATGCTGAGGTTGGGTTTCTGGACTGCAGAGGCCAAGCTCCAAGGGTCACCCAAGTGTAGACATCTTTCTGAGCTGAAGGAAAATTGAAATAGATCAGTGGCTGTCATACATTTCAGCTCTATACATTCCAATAAAAACTTACTGTGACCTCAAAGCTATCAAATACGTATTAAGTGAGAAGTCAGAGAGAGAGAGAGAGTATAGGGGTTAAGGTGTTCCCCTTGCATGTGGCCGAGCCCTTTTTGATTCAAGGCACCGTCTACAGAGGCCCAAGTCCTACCAGGAGTGATCCTAGAATTCAGAACCAGAAGTAAAGCCTGAGTACAGCCAGGTATGCCCCCCTGCAAGTCAAAAGAAAGAAAAACTGAATCAGTGCTAATGATGGGAGAAGAGCTCTAGGTTCGGCCTCTAAACAGATATTTGCAGCACACCAGAAGACCCATGTGCCTCCTCAGACTGCAGCAGCCCAGAATACAGGTGGAAATCTCCACACCTGGTATTCTCTAGCAAGAGACTGACTTGGAATTTTACAACGAGCTTTGTAATGAACTGTCATCTGCAGGTTCTCACAGACCTAGTCTAGCAACTGCACCAGGGTGAGCTGGCAACTCTCTGAAGGATTTATGGCCAAGAACTCCCAGAGCAAATGCCACAGAGAGTGCTGGAGAAGAGGGGTTGAAGATCCAATTTCCTAGGAGAAAGATAAAGAGACCAAGTGCGAACTATCAAGGAGTGCCATCTGCCTTGCCATGCGGCAGGGCTGAGAATGGGTCTGTTACAATGAGATGAACAGCACAGCTTTCTTTTATCAGCAACTCCTGTCAACGTACCAGATGGCCCAGAAGACACTTTCTCCTTGCTTCTGCTGGCAGCCTGGTAAAGGAAAAGGAAAATGCATGTCAAAATCACTGCAGCAGTGCTAAGATTCTCTTTAGTCACAGACCAACATCCACATCTGAATCAGAAGGAACATCAGGGCAATTACTAAACCGGACGCTCTTTCTGGGTGCCCAGCCATACAGTCACATTTCTGTCCAGCCCGGAGTGTTTCCCCTCTCTCTGCCCTTCACCAGACGCCTCCTTCCACTCCAGGGACAAGGATCTGCTTTCTCCCCAGGATATGAGCCAGGAGCCAAGGAAGGGTTGAGGTGGGGTAGGAAAGGGAGGTAGGGGTAACTGGAAAATTTATGAAGGTTAAGCTACAGGGTTCTTTTTTTTTAATTTTTATTAGTGAAACACCATGAGGTACAGTTGTAGACTTACAAATTTTTGTGCTTGGATTTCAATCATACAATGATCAAATACCCATCCCTCCACCAGTGCCCATTCTCCACCACCACTGATCCCAGTATCCCTCCCACCCCCCATGCCCCCCATCCCTCCCTGCCTCTGTGGCAGGGCATTCCCTTTTGTTCTCTCTCTCCTTTTGGGTGCTATGGTTTGCATTAAGTGGCAATCATGTCTATAGTCTACTTTCAGCATGCATCTCCCATCCTGGGAGGATCCTCCCAGCACCCTTAATTTGGTGCTCCCTTCTCTGTCTGAGCTGCCTTTTCCCCAAGCATGTGCAGCTGGCCTCCAAGCCATGGAGTAAAATTCCTGGTACTAATCTCGGTCATTCTTGGGTGTTATTCTCCTATTTTGTTACTTTATGTTCCCCAGATGAATGCAATCTTTCTATGTCTGTCCCTCTCTTTCTGACTCGTTTCGCTTAGCATGATACTTTCCATGTAGTATCATTGTATGTAAATTTCATGACTTCATCCTTTCTGACAGCTACATAGTACTCCATTGTGTAGATGTACCAAAGCTTCTTTAACCAGTCATCTGTTCTCGGGCACTCAGGTTTTTTCCAGATTCTGGCTATTGTAAACAGTGCTGCAATGAACAAACAAGTGCAGACTTTGACTATACTTTTTTGCCTCTCTGGGATATATTCCCAGGAGTGGTATTGCTGGGTCAAATGGGAGCTCAATTTCTAATTTTTTGAGAATCATCCATACTGTTTTCCAAAAGGGCTGAACCAGTCAGCATTCCCACCAGCAGTGAAGGAGGGTCCCTTTCTTGCCACATCCGTGCCAACACTGGTTGCTTTTGTTCTTTGGGATGTGGGCCAGTCTCTGTGGTGTGAGATGATATCTCATTGTGGTTTTCATCTGCATCTCCCTGATGATTAATGATGTAGAGCATTTTCTCACATGCCGTTTTGCCATTCAGATTTCTTCTTTGAGAAAGTTTCTGTTCATTTCATCACCCCATTTTTTGATGTGGCTGGATGTTTTCTTCTTGTGGAGTTCAACCAGTACTTTGTATATCCTTGATATCAACCCCTTGTCGGTTGTGTATTGGGTGAATATCATTTCTTGTTCTGTAGACTGTCTTTGTATTTTGGTCACTGTTTCTTTTGAGGTGCAGGAGCTTCTTAGTTTAAGATAGTCCCACTTGTCTATCTCTGTTTTCACTTGCTTGGCCAGTGGCATGACATCTTTGAAGATACCATTAGCTTCAATATCATGGAGGGTTTTGCCAACTTTGTCTTCAATGTACCTTATGGATTCTAGTCTGATGTTAAGGTCATTAATCCATTTTGATCTTACTTTTGTACATGGTGTCCGGCAGAGATCTGAGCCCATCTTTTTGCATGTAGCCATCCAGTTTTGCCAGCACAATTTGTTAAAGAGGCTTTCCTTGCTCCACTTCACATTTCTTGCTCCCTTGTCAAAGGTTAGATGATCATATGTCTGGGAGTGGGAGAGATGTCGGTATATTCAACCCTGTTCCATTGGTCTGCAGCTCTGCCTTTGTTCCAGTACCATGCCATTTTAATTATTACTGCTTTGTATTAGAGTTTGAAGTTAGGGAGGTTGATTCCTCCATTTTCTTTTTCCCAAGAATTGCTTTAGCTATTCGTGGGGGCTTATTTTTCCATATGAATTTTATGAGTGTTTGCTCCATTTCTTTGAAGAATGTCATGGGTATCATTATCGGGCACTGTAGCACTGTCATCCCGTTAATCATCAATTTGCTCGAGCGGGTGCCAGTAGTGTCTCCATTTGTTCCAGCCCTGAGATTGTAGCATCATAAACTTTATGCCCTCTCTCCAAGGATGCAGCACACCAGCTGGATGTCTTTGGGCATAATGGCGATGCACTTGGCGTGGATGGTGCAAATGTTGGTATCCTGGAAGAGCCCCACCAGGGAGGCCTTGCACACCTCCTGCAGCACCATGATGTTCGAGCTCTAGGAGCACAGGTCAGTCTTAAAGTCCTGTGCAATCTTGCACACCAGCTGCTGGAATGGCAGCTTGCAGATAAGCACATCGGTGGACTTCTGGTAGTGTTGGATCTCGCACAGCACCAAGGTGTCAGGTAGGTAGTGGTGCAGCTTTTTTATGCCACCTGTGGTTGGTACGCTTTTGTGGGCTGCCTTGGTGGCCAGCTGCTAACAGGGATCGCATTGAATTTGTACAATGCTTTGGGAATTATTGCCACTTTGACAATGTTAATTCTCCCAATCCATGAGCAGGGGATATCTTTCCATTTTCTCGTGTCCTCTTTTATTTCCTGAAGTAGTGTTTTGTAGTTTTCTTTGTACAGGTCCTTTACTTTCTTAGTTAAAATGATTCCTAGGTATTTGATTTTTCTGGGGCACAATTGTGAACGGGATTGTTTTCTTCATGTTGTTTTCTTCTCTCTCACTATTTGCATATAGAAAAGCCATGGACTTTTGGGTATTGATCTTATAGTCTGCAACTTTACTCTACAAGTCTATTGTTTTTAGGAGTTTCTTGGTAGAGGTTTTAGGGTTCTCTAAGTAGAGTATCATATCATCTGCGAATAGTGAGAGCTTGATTTCTTCCTTTCCTACCTGAATGCCCTTAATACCTTTTTCTTGCCTAACCTCTATTGCAAGTACTTCCAGTACTATATTGAACAGCAGTGGAGAGAGTGGGCATCCCTGTCTCATCCCTGATCTTAGAGGGAAGGCTCTCAGTTTTTCGCCATTGAGGATGATGCTTGCTGTAGGCTTGTGGTAGATGGCTTTAACTATATTGAGGAAAGTCCCCTCTATCCCCATTTTGGTGAGGGTTTTCGTAATAAACAGGTGCTGGATCTTGTCAAATGCTTTTTCTGCATCTATTGATATAATCATATGGTTTTTATCTTCTCTTTTGTTGATATGATGAATTATGTTGATTGATTCCTGAATGATAAACCATCCTTGCATTCCCGGGATGAGCTACAGGGTTCTTATATAGGCCTTTTTAAAACCCTAAACTATTTAACAATGTGTTCACATAATCAGATATTTTATTAAAACTTCAAAGGCAAAATCACTTAACTGCAATCTGTTCAGATTCTGCCTCCTTCATGCTTTCCCTCACTCTGGTTAACACTCCAGAGGCTGTAGCTATATCTGGATCTGGACAAGTTGAAGCTGAGCTAAAAGATCTTTAACTGGGATTTCATAGACTAGACTTATGTTGTTTCCAGTTATTTCCATGTTAGGACAAGGACATCACACCTGTAAGTAGCACTACTTCTAAGAATATACGCAATTAGTCATAGAAGAATATTCTAAGTGCCCCGGTACTTTGCAGTTTACATACTAAAAAAAAAATGTGTTGGAGGTTCCCCATTTCATGACCATTCTATATATATTTCCATTCCATAAATGATAATGAATTGATAATCTAAAAGATGTCTTCTAAACCAGAAAAATAAGAATTTAAAAAAAAGCACTGCACTGTAGCACTGCCTCCCGTTGTTCATCTATTTGCTCGAGCGGGCGCCAGTAACGTCTCCATTGAGATTTGTTGTTACTGTGTTTGGCATATTGAATATGTCATGGGGAGCTTGCCAGGCTTTGTCACGCAGGTGAATTATTCTCGGAAGCTTGCCAGGCTCTCCGAGAGGGTCAGAAGAATTGAACCCGGGTTGGAGAAATTTAATCAACAATGCTATAGGGAAGACAGTAAATTTTCTGCTCTCCCATAGGAAAAATTTAAAATATTTTTAGAGAAAAATTTTGCAATTTTATTTATAATTAAGTCTTTGTAATGATATTTTTTATTTGGTTGTTCTTTTGTTTGGGGTCACACCTGGTAGTGCTCAGGGGACCATGAGTATTAAGAACCAAACATGGGTTTCCCACAGACAAAGCATGTACTGAGTCCTTTGAGTAATCTCCCCTTCCTCTAGTATGTTATTTACAAAAATTATTGTATCACCATGCGTGTCATCCTTGCGCAGGGGCCATGCTAATCTTCTCTGTATCGTTCCAATTTTAGTATATGTGCTGCCGAAGCGAAGTAGGGGGATGTTACAAAATTATTATCATGCAAGTATGCACAATTAAAAATTTAAACAATTTTTTAATTTTAACAAAACAAATGTTATTTAAGTCAATTTGGTACTGAATAATTTTGAGTGAGTCTTGAATAAAATACTCTTCAGCATTTCTAATTTTGAATTTCCATGTGATTCTTTTCTTATTCTCTATAAATATTCACTTTCCTCTTAACTATATATTTGCAACTTTATATTATTTTTATGTACAGGGTGTCCCCCAAAGCCTGCCCCTCTCTTTATAAGCACTCCATCTCTCTTTTTTTTGTGAAACACCATGAGGTACAGTTGTAGACTTACAAATTTTTGTGCTTGGGTTTCAGTTATACAATGATCAAGTACCCATCCTTCCACCAGTGCCCATTTTCCACCACCACCAGTCCCAGTATCCCTCCCAACCCCCCTCCCCCCATCCCACCCTACCACTGTGGCAGGGCATTCCCTTTTGTTATCTCTCTCCTTTTGAGTGCTGTGGTTTGCAGAAGAGACAGTGAGTGGCAATCTTGTTTGGACTATTGTCTACTCTCATCACGCATTTCCCATCCTGAGAGGAACCTCCCAACACCCTTTATTTGGTGCTCCCTTCTCTATCTGAACTGCCTTTTCCCCTAGCATGTGTGGCTGTCCTCAAAGCCATGGAGTAATCCTCCTGGTACTTATCTCAGCTATTCTTGGGTGTTAGTTTCCTATTTTGTTACTTTATGTTCCCCAGATGAATGCAATCTTTCTATGTCTGTCTCTCTCTTTCTGACTCATTTCACTTAGCATGATACTTTCCATGTAGTACCACTTGTGTGTAAATTTCATGACTTCATCCTTTCTGACAGCTACATAGTACTCCATTGTGTAGATGTACCAAAGCTTCTTTGACCAGTCATCCGTTCTCGGGCACTCAGGTTTTTTCCAGATTCTAGCTATTGTAAACAGTGCTGCAATGAACAGACAACTGCAGATGTCGCTTCGACTATACTTTTTTGCCTCTCCGGGGTTTATTCCCAGGAGTGGAACTGCTGGGTCAAATGAGCACCCCATCTCTCTTGATTAGCAGCCCTCACCTTATTTTTGCTGGTCTATACCAGACCTTCACTGAAAAAAAGAGTCAGCTCATGATCACTGGGTACCTTCTGGTAGCTGAACCCCTATATTCAAATTCCAACATCACACTTGAGACCTTGGGAAAGTTCATGAGTCTCCTTCTCCTCATCTAGACAGTCCTACCAGGACTGTACTACAACAATCACATGACACGCACCTCGGAATATTTTTATGGAGGAATAAATGATCATCTATGGGAAATATTTAGAATGAACCCTGTGATCACCTAGGAAGCTACTGAAGATTTAGTGCTTAAGGATCTTAAAGAATGTAAAGATCAACTAGACCAACCCCCTTATAATACACATAAGGAAACTAAATTGTTGATAGATTAATTGCCTTGCCTAAGGCCAGCCATGGAGGGAGTTCTTTGTAAATCTGAAAATAGAACTCAGTTCTCCTCACTCCCATGCCATTGCTCTTTCCACCACATCAGCCCATGCCCAGGTGGAGAAGGCAGAAAAGGAAGTGCCAGTGTGACTACATCAGCATCTCAAGATGCCCTCACTTCTCTTGTTAGCATCCCAGTCTCCTACACAATATTTAATCAGTTAAAAGTGAACAAGCCTTGGGCCGTGGGCCCCTCGTGTCTGGCAGCAGCGCTTCAGCCCTCGCTGCAGTGAAAGTACCAGTGGCCACTGCTGAGAAGATTCCACCTATATTGCAAACCACATTGCCCAAAAGGAGAGAAAGAGAGAGAGAGAGAGAGAGAGAGAGAAAAGAAAGAAAAGAAAAGCGCCTGCCATAGAGGCAGGCAGGAGATGGGGGGTAGGGGGGTCATGGGAGGGAACCTGGGGACACTGGTGCTGGGAAATGTACACTGGTGCAGGGATGGGTGTTGGAACACTGTATGACTGAAACCCAATCGTGAATAGCTTTGTAAAGATCTATAACAGTGATTCAATAAAAAAATCTCTAAAAAAAAAGTGAACAAGCCTTGATGACCCTTGGCCCATTAAGGAGACTCCAGTGAAGTCACAGTCTGTGAGCCATAGGTATGCGGGCAAATGAGGCTCTCCTGTTTACAAGGACTGGAAATGCTGCCTTCTGGTGTGGAGGATCTCGTTCACACTTTTACTGCTAATTGGTCAAAGCATATATGATCTTGGGTATTTCTTTCAGGACAGAAGGGGCAGGGTAGGGGCAGTATCTACTAAGGACCTCCTCCGCTTTCAACACTCATCTTCCTCAGTCTAACCCCGAAAAAGACACCTGCAAACCTGAAACCTGTCAAACCTGTGGGCTCGCCTGTGAGTAAGCAGGTCAGAGAAGGGGTAGCCCCAATAGAGCAGCATCCAGCAGCTTGTAAATGAAGAAGAAAAGGATGGGATGGATGCTCTGATCCCGAGAATCAAAGCAGAGTCAACCTCTCAGGCTTTGCCTGCTCTCTCTCTCTCTCTCTCTCTCTCTCTCTCTCTCTCTCTCTCTCTCTCTCTCTCCCTCCCTCCCTCTCTCTCCCTCTCTCTCCCTCTCTTCTACCTTGTGGGGAAATGAGGATGAGGAAATGGAGAGAGGATCTGGTGCAGAGCTGTAAAGTCAAGATGCCTCAAAAGGACAAGACAGTTCTGAGTGGGCTCTAACCTCTCCCCAGAAAGTAGACAAAAGTAGACACCAGCTGAGTCTCCACAAGGAATGTGAATCATGGAGAAATTTCCTATCTAGGAACAAGTTACCCAGAGGGCAGCATAGGTATCATTTGGGAGCTCCCTAGAATGAAATTCCAAATGATTTTATTTCCTTCTCAGGAAGGAACACGCGTATTAGGGCCCGAGAGAGCACAGGAAGAAGGCCACTTACAGGTCCCATCCCGGCATCCCATATGGTCTCCCAAATACCACCAGGAGTGATTCCTGAGTACAGAACCAGGAGTAAACACTGAACATCACCTGGTATGGTCCAAATCAACACTCCCCACCAAAAATAATCACCCATTAAAACAGGAAGAACAAGCTTCAGAATCTAAAGACAGGAGACCTGACCTCAGCACTGTAGCTCAGTGGGTTTGTAAGTAGCTAAGTAACTTCAAGCGAGTCATTCCACAAGGTAGACCTCAGTTTCCCTCTGAAATGAGGGCATGGGACATAACCAGTATCTCAAAGACACCTTCCAGATTATGTGGTCAATGATACTATCTTCTCAAGAAGACCAACATATTTTTATCAGGGTCACCCGTTGGGAGTGCTAGGGAACCAGGACCTATCCCAGCAGAGTTTGACCTGGAGGAGTTTGAGGGCCTCTAGCAGAGGGAGCATGAAGTTCTGGAGAGCAAACTCAGGGCCTTCCGCATGTTAAGTATGTGTTATACTCCTTGAGTTATTTCTCTGCCTCTGAAGATGTTTTCTTCTCCACATACTGTATTTAAAATATTTAATCTAACGGAAAAGTCAAAATTACTATGTATTAAAGAAAAGAGACTTCACAGGGAGTGCTCTGCCTGACAAAGTTTGAGAATAGTATATTGCTCCCTCCCTCAGCCTATCCTTGGTTAACTCTGAGCTTTGTTAAACTCTGAGCATTGCTTCGTCCCATTCACCCATCCATGGTATTCACTATCAAGTTTTTCAAAGATTAGTGCCATGTGGGTGGGACAATGCTTCATTGTGCCAGATCATTCCTAGGTCCTGCCCACTAGATGCCATTAATATCACCTGTACAGTGTGACAGCCCTCGCCACCTCCACCTTTTCAAGCGCCCTAAGAAATAGCTCCGCCCTGGTTAAGAGTAAACTCGAAGTTTCACCATCAAAGGAAATGGAGACAGAGTTTATCACCTTTAAATCATTCGAGCCTCATTGCATCTCTGGCACTTCTGGGAAAGGTTGATTAGAAAGTCACTGGCAGCTGTTGTCTAAAATGGGTTTGAGGGCCCAGTAGTTGCATTGTCCTTTGTGTGGACCGTCTCTCTCCACTTCCGGTTAAATAACTGGGACTTGGCCATGTGAAGGATTTGGTCCTCACTGGACTCTCCCTACCAGTTTGTCCTCCCATCTCCCTTCTCTTACCTGGCATAACGTCGTCCTGCAGGATTCCGTGGGCAAGAGAAACACCAAGCCACATAGCAACAGCACACCAGTCATCGTCCTCCGATGCTGCCTCGCCGGCTACTGCAAAAATCAATGAAAAGCCACCGTGTGGTCCATCTGAAGCCTTCCACGTGCCACACCACCGCAGACCCCGCAGGGGCTGACACCGGGTCCGATCTCCCTGCTCCTGCTCCAGAGATGGCAGCCCCAGCTCCCACTGACTTTGCTGGACTGACTTTGCCTCCCACTGACTCCCACGGACTTTGAGAGGCAGCGAAGGTGAGCACCGACCAGCAAGGGGGCCACCCTCCTCCACTGCCTGACGTGACAGCCTCTGCCCTGTGCTTGCACACGACACCTCGGGTAGGACTCCCTCCCAAAGGAACTGCCCAGGGGGTGTGATTAAGAACAGCCTGTGTGAGGTCAGGAGAGGGAATGCCAGGCCATTGTTCAGGTTAGGCAAGGCTGAGATTTGTGGAGGTGGCTCTAATGGAAGATGAGCTGGGCTTCCCTTAAGTCTCAGAATTTCTCTGTTTTTTTTTTCTTTTTGGGTGACATCCAGCGATGCATAGGGATACTCCTGGCTCTGCACTCAGGAATCATTCCTGACGGGGCTCGAGGAACCACATGGGATGCTGGGAATCGAACCCAGATCGAAAGGCAAACGCCCTACCCACTGTGCTCTCAGTCCTCAGAATATCTTTTGGAGAGGCATAAGCACCCCCTGTGCTGTCTTAACCCCTATGCCCACCGAACTTCAGCACTGTCCTCTTTTGCAAGTAGGCAGCAATTTCTTGAAAACTCATTTAAGATGCAGCCTGGTCTGTTATTTCTGCCAGAACTAACGTGATTCTATGGCACCTCAGATAGTGCTGAGGCATATGGGCACAGAAGTGACTCAATAAAGAAAAGGAGAGAGGGAGGGCAGATGGTCAGGTCGAAACGATTCACACAGGATTGATGCTGTGTACAGGACTCACATACACTGAATCTTTTTAATATTTGATTTTAATAATTCATATATCTTTCAACCTGAGTGAGATTCTCTTTGGAGGATATTTGATGTTTGTTTTCAAATGGAAGCATTTAGAAGACTGAATATTGTCAACAAAGACCAAAAATTTTGCAGTAATTGATAATTGCAATTTGTTTCATCCTTCTTAGGCAAAAACAGTCTATCTTGACCATGCATAATTCTAGAGCAAATAAAGCTAAATCTTAAAAGAAAAGGCACAATGTATTTCTTAAATCATGAAAAATTCTTGCCTCTCAGAAATTCCACTGAAACCCATTGATATGTGCAATAGTTTGCCTTGCCTATTTCAGTTTATTGATAGTTTTCTGGAAATCTGGACTCATTTAAGCAAAGGGATCTCTGTTGCTCGTCACTTTTAAATGTTTGTAGTAGCAACCCAGATGGAGACCCAATTTCAAGCAACTCGCAGCCATGTTGGCATCCTTTATTTCAATCTATCAAAGGGATACATACTGAAGTGTAAAAGAATTATCTAAGTCACTTACTAGAATCATCAACAATATGACTACGCTTTGGGTAAAACTCATTGATGAATTTGCTGGCATAGTTCTCATAAAATATGACCAGGATGTTGGCGCGGATGTGGCGAGAAAGGGACTCTCCTTCACTGCTGGTGGGAATGCCAACTGGTTCAGCCCTTTTGGAAAACAGTATGGACAATTCTCAAAAAATTAAAAACTGAACTCCCATTTGACCCAGCAATACCACTCCTGGGAATATATCCCAGAGAGGCAAAAAAGTATAGTCGAAGTGACATCTGCACTTGTTGTTCATTGCAGTACTGTTTACAATAGCTAGAAACTGGAAAAAACCTGAGTGCCCGAGAACAGATGACTGGTTAAAGAAACTTAGGTACATCTACACAATGGAGTACTATGTAGCTGTTAGAAAAGATGAAGTCATGAAATTCATATACAAATTCATATACAAGTAGTAATACATGGAAAGTATCATGCTAAGTGAAATGAGTCAGAGAGGGACTGACATAGAAATATTGCATTCATCTGAGGAACATAAAGTAACAAAATAGGTAACTAATACCCAAGAATAGCTGAGATAAGTACCAGGAGGATTACTCCATGACTTTGAGGCCAGCCGCACACGCTAGGGGAAAAGGCAGCTCAGATAGAGAAGGAAGCACCAAATAAAGGGTGTTGTGAGGATCCTCTCAGGGTGGGAGAAGCATGCTGAACGTAGACTAAAGACCAAACATGACTGCCACTCAATGCCTCTCTTGCAAATCACAGGACCCAAAAGAAGAGAGAGAGAACAAGGGGGAATGCCCTGCCACAGAGGCAGGGTGGGATGGGGGGATGAGGGGTGGGAGGGATACTTGGATCAGTGGTGGTGGAGAATGGGCACTGGTGGACGGATGGGTATTCAATCATTGTATAATTGAAACCCAAGCACAAAAATTTGTAAGTCTACAACTGTTCCTCATGGTGTTTCACTAATAAAAATTTAAGGAAAAAAAATATGACCAAGAATCCCTGCTTATATGAATTACATTAACTTCAGCTTTAGTTTAAGCTATATGATTGTAATGTTTTTAGTTAAATTAAATTAACTTTACATTAAAAGTTAATTTTAATTTAATTTAATTTAATCTAATACTTTTTGTGTTTAAGGAATGATATAGAAAAACACATTTTCATGGACTTAGCATTATTCAACCAAAAAAGCATATTTTTTAAAAGGTTAAGTAACCAAATAAGTAGTCAAATCAAGATGAGAACTACTTATCCCATATGGTCCTCCGTGCACCGCCAGGAGTAATTCCTGAGTGCATGAGCCAGGAGTAACTCCTGTAGTCAAAGTAGTCAAATCAAGATGAGTTTAAAGGTTTTATAATGTTATAGTGAGAAAATCCTTTATTGTTTTTGAGATTTGAACTTTATATTTAATTTTGAATTTATATCCAGATCTTTTAATCATTTATTTTATTGTATAACATATATGACACTTTGTTTTTTATGTGAGAGCAATCTTCACTAGACTTTGCCATAATGGTCTTTTTTCCCCCACAGTTTTGTTGCTTCCTATAGTTATACTTTTCTTACACTTTCTAACATGCTAAGATCTACCTTTTAGTAGAACTATTTGAAACACAGCTTTGAGTTGGTAACTCTCCCCAAGTTTCAGCAACAATGACTTAAAGTACTTTTAAGGCTTTTTTTTTACCCTCCCCTGGTTGGGGGGAGGGTGTGGCACAGGGCCACACTGGATAGTCATCAGGGATTTAGATGCCCAACGACCGACGCAGTGGGGTGCCCAGAGTACAGGGGGAGGGTGGTGCCATGAAGAGCCAGTGATCAAACTCAAGACCAAGTCCAGGCTAGATGCAAGCTGTAGTACTTCAGCTATCTCCCAAACACTCAATTCTTCTCAATAGAAGGAACATTTCAAAAATCAACTTTTTATTCAATTTTTTTTTTCATTTAAGAAATTTGATTGTGGGCTGGAGCGATAGCACAGCGGGTAGAGTGTTTGCCTTGCACGCGGCCAAACCAGGTTCTATTCCCAGCATCCCATATGGTCCCCTGAGCACCTCCAGGAGTGATTCCTGAGTGCATGAGTCAGGAGGAACCCCTGATTATTCTTTTATTATAAAGTGATTTTCTTTTTGCTTTCTGGGTCACACCAGTGGTGCACAGGGGTTACTCCTGGCTCATGCACTCAGGAATTACTCCTGGCGGTGCATGGAGGACCATATGGGATACTGGGAATTGAATCCAGGTCCGCCAAGTGCAAGGCAAACGCCCTACTCGCTGTGCTATCACTCCAGCCCCATATAAAGTGGTTGTTTTTAATCTGGACTTAAAATTATATTTTTCTTCCAAATCTGTCATTCATAAGGCAGCCATTAGCTAACTTCTCCAGTTCTGTAAAAAGCTGTAGAAGCTGTACAAGAAGTAGGGTAGAGCAGTGACAAAATAGTAGCAGAAAAGCAGTTGTCTGACCCCCATCCTTTCCCTACACCCAGGCCTCCTTTGCTCATTTGTTTAGGCCATTGAGCTGGCCCTTCCCCAGACTAGCTCCTCCATTTTCTGAAATATAGGGCTATCTGGAGTTGAAACTGTTTTCTCCTGAGCACCTGCTGCCTTGAAAGTTGTTCATTACACAGAAGCCCAAGCCAAAAAACGTCATACATTTCAGAAAAGGCTTATCACTCAAGAACATGCAACTTGAAAAAACAGTCACCTCTGTCTGACTCATATCCACCAAAATGAAACAATCACATCAACTCTGAAATTTCACAGGCTAAAATGAGCCAAATACAAAGTTAGATTTTTTTTTAAAAAATTAAGAAACTGCTTCCTTCTTCCTACCAAAAAAACAGAAAGAAAAGGAAACAGCATGAACAATTGTACAATGGCTAGATCTGCAAGGAGATAACAGTTCCAGTCACTCCACCTAGAATAACTTTTCTTATTCTCCATTATCTGCTTCCCAAATCTGAAATAAGTCCTTAAGGTGTTCACATAAGTATTCATTCAACAAAATACAAGACGCTCATTTCCCAGGAATGTCCTTACAACTAGAAAGGAATTCGCTGTAACCCAGATGGATTCTTTCCCATTTTACTTTGGGGAAGTCAGCTACTGTGAAACCAGACCAAATAATTAGAGATTTGGAAGAGTTTTCTCCCCGGAAATCCCATACCCTAGATGTCAAACCTAATAGAAGAAACATGAGAGGAAGCATTCCAAGATTTCAGATTCCACAAAGTAATTCCATGTTCATTAGCAATTCTATTTCTAAAGCTCCCTTCCTTTCTATCAAATTTCTCTACCCCAAATGCACATGATTGGCTGGCAATAGGCACAGCTCAATAATGAAGACAGGTAGCTAGTAAACCTGTGAGCTCCCATGCTGGGACATGTTCTGTGTAAGGCCCTAGCGCACCCAAACAATGACTTCAATTAATACTGGCTCATGCACGAACACACATACACACACTATTGAGGCATGGGCAATTTTATAAGGTGATTCGGAATGGGCTTGGGGAGAAACTCTA